TCTCGCTGGGGGTGCTGGGGGCACACACGGGGATGCCAGGAGTGGGGGGGGGGCTGGAGTGTGCCAGGGGATGCTTGGGCACCCCAGGATGGCACCGCTCGGTGTGGGGTGCAGGGGAGATGTCGGGGTGTCCCTGAGCCCCCCAGGATGTCGCACTCGGTGTGGGGTGCCGGAGGGAATGTGGGGATGTCCCCGCTGGGTTTGGCCACCCCGGGATATCGCGGCACGGTGTGGGGTGCCCGGGGGGGGAATTTGGGGGTGTCCCTGAGGCTCTGGGCCCCCCAGGATGGCTCAGTACGAGCCCGTGGCCGAGCTGGGCGTGGGCGCGCACGGCACCGTGTTCAAGGCTCGGGACCGGCTCAGCGGGCGATTCGTGGCCCTGAAGAACGTGCGGGTGCCCACGGGGGGGACAGGGCTGCCCCCCAGCACCGTGCGGGAGGTGGCTCTGCTGCGGCGCCTCGAGCACCTGGAGCACCCCAACATCGTCCGGTGAGAGCCGGGGCTGCCCTGGGGCTCTGCCCCTGAGAGTCACCCCATTGGAGGGCAGGGATTGGGGTGCCGGGGCAGGGATTGGGGTGCCGGGGCAGTTTTGGGGTGCCAGGACAGGGATTGGGGTGCCGGGGCAGGGATTGGGGGTGCCGGGGCAGGGAAGGGGATTGAGGGTAGGGATGAGAATCCCAGAGCAGTTTTGGGATCCCAGAGCAGGAATGGGGTGCCAGGGCAGGGATGACGGTGCCAGGGCAGTTTTGGGGTCCCAGGACAGAGATGGGATCCCAGAGCAGTTTTGGGGTGCCAGGGCAGGGATGGGGATTGAGGGTAGGGATGAGGGTCCTGGGGCAATTTTGGGATCCCAGACCAGAAGTTAAGGTCTCAGGGCAGGGATGGGGTCCCAGAGCAGTTTTGGGATCCCAGGGCCGTTTTGGGATCCCAGGGCCGTTTTGGGATCCCAGGACAGTTCAGGGGTCTCAGAGCAGGGATGGGGGTCCCAGGGCACAGCAATGGGGGCAGGAAACAACAATGTGGGTCGCAGAGGCACAGCAGGTGTCCCGTGGGCTCTGTCACAGCCCGTGTCCCCATGTCCCCAGGCTGATGGATGTCTGTGCCAGCGCCCGCACCCCACACGAGGCCAAGGTCACGCTGGTGTTCGAGCACGTGGAGCAGGACCTGAAAACCTTCCTGGAGAAGGCGCCGGCCCCGGGGCTGCCCCCTGACACCATCAAGGTGGGCACGGGGAGGGGGTCCCGAGGCCCCGGGGGGCGCAGGGGGGGCCCTGACCCCGTGTCCCCCCCAGGACCTGATGCGGCAGTTCCTGCGTGCTCTGGATTTCCTGCACACCCAGAGCATCATCCACCGGGACCTGAAACCCCAGAACGTGCTGGTGACCAGCGCGGGGCAGCTCAAGGTGGCCGATTTCGGGCTGGCCCGGATCTATGGCTGCCACATGGCCCTGACCCCCGTGGTGCGTCCGGGGGGCCCGGGGGGTCCGGGGGGCTGGGGGTCAAGGGGGGGATTGGGAATGGGAAATCCTGGGAGT